ACCCGAGGCTTGCTGCCTCCGATGGCCCCCGGTAGGATGGAGCCGGTCTCGTTGTAGCGAGCCAGGATTTTGCTGACGCAGCCGTGGGAAACGCGGAGCTGCCGGCTGATGTCGCACGGCCTGATACCCAGTTGCGCCAGTTCCACAATCCGCAGCCTGATGGCATTGGGCAGGGGTCTCCCGTTGACAAACACCCCCCCGAGCTGGTTCACTTCCCCGAAGGCGGGTTCTGCAAGCAAACACACCAACACACCCGTCGGACTCGGCGGAGGGCTCAGAAGGGGGCGTCGGAGCTGCTCCTCACCGCGAGGTAGATGTCACAGCTCGGGGACCCCCCGGCCACGCCACGCACCGAAAGAAAAGGAGAGGGGAAAGAAAGAAAAGGAGAGGGGAAAGAAAGAAAAGGAGAGGGGAAAGAAAGAAAAGGAGAGAGGAAAGAAAGAAAAGGAGAGGGGAAAGAAAGAAAAGGAGAGGGGAAAGAAAGAAAAGGAGAGGGGAAAGAAAGAAAAGGAAGAAAATCCGTGGCAACAAATGTCAGAGCTCTCCCGACTGTGCATCCAGCATATTCCAAAAAAGCACATTCCGCAGATGAAAAACGAGATCGCCCCGACAGACAAGTCAGCTTTATTGCCACGGGAAAAAGTAACACGAAGAAAAGAAAAAGAAGAAAAGGAAAACGTTTTCAAAGAGGTGGGGGAGGGGGAGGAAGGAAAAAGTAGTTGAGGAAATCATTCCACATCTTGGGAGAGGCGAGGGCTACGCGGAGCTTCCGAGTCGCCACTAACTTTTTCGAGACCGTTTCTGGCGCCGTGAGCGCCTCTGGCTTAACGGCACGGTTACACCGGGCCGTAAAACGAACGTGCTGAAATGTTAACTGCTAAGACCGGCGTCAGGAGCAAGAGGTGCCAGGGGCTCGGCCGCGGTCCCGCCTGGCACTTGCCTGGCAACGCCGGCAATAAACCGAGCGGTCGTTAGCTCCTCTCTCTCCGCTGCCCCCGGCCCTCAGCGCGTCCTCACAGCCTGTGGGAACCCAAGCAAAGTCAGCCAGGGCGGCAGACGACGGCGCAGGGGCGCTCCCC